CAGCATCATTTCAGTGACTGATTTACTTGACAAAATTATTTTGAGTGGCTTCAACCTCAGCTGCAGGCCTAAATATAGTGAGATAAGTATCACATGCCCTGATCTTTTAGAAAAGTGCACATGATGTATCCATGTTAGGTGACATGTTCCATAGAATTAAGTGTTGTGTGATGTCAACTGTGAATATGAAAAAGAATAAGACTATGTTATGTGGACTAATAGAGATGATTCTTAGGCATTCAGAGCTCTCTGCAGATCTCCTTGTAACTGTAAGATAAATTAATGCTTGCTGTCACTTCTTTCAATCAGTAAAAGCTAAGTAAATAAAATAAGCTGTCACATTTTTTGGTTCTTTTCTATATGAAATTGAAAACATTTCTTGAGCTAATAAACTCAAGTCTAGGACTACTGGTATGCTTGACTTTTTCTAACTGTATACATCAAAGTGTGGAAGCGAGCTAAGCTAACAGCTCATTCAGTGTAGTTATTGTGTTGGAGGAAGCATGCTTGCTTTACAAATTTGAATAGATGTTGTTGTTCTCAGTAATGTCACCCACTCTTTGGCTGCAGGCGTTGTTTGAACAGAGGGAATGTGAAGCATTTATTATTTTATTCAGGGGTGCTCAGCTACTCTTTCTGGATCTTCTTTTTCAAAATGATGATGCAGGCAGTACTGGGAAGGCTGAGCAGACAGATGGCTAGTGCTGAAGGTCGATGCAGTGCTTTATCTGCATTGTCTTCAGAGTAGATGAGTCCAAGTGTAAGAAAATAAAGAAATTTTTACAATTAAAAGTTGTTTGTGATTTTCAGAGAATGGATCAGAAGTCAGTATTAACCTTGCTGTGTGCTAAAGAATACATATTTATTTTCCTAATTACCAATTGTAAGTGCAGATCACACAGTAGCTGACTTCTGCCTCTCCTTGGTATTCTAGGTCAGTGTGTTACAGACATCTGCCCATTGCTGCAATCTGATCGTAAGATGAATGCCATCAGCACAAACACATTCCTTATTTCAGCTACACCAATACAATCTGTCCCCTTGTGTTTATTTCAGCACTGAGTGAATTCTTTTGGTTATTTATAGATCCTTATGAGATTGTGTCAGTGGGGCAAGAGTGAAGCTGCGTTAGCAGATGGAGTGCTCCAGAGAGGTCTGTTGCCTGGAACTTGTCCACTGGCTTTGTAAAAGGCACGACAAAGAAGTGATCCTGCCTCTTTACAACAGTAGAGCAAATGTTCTATGGACTTCGCATTGGACCAGGAGTCAAAAACCTCAGAGCAGACCGGAGGAAGAGCTGTGACTCACAGTTCTGTTTGTTTTGCCCTGGTTCTCCAGGAGAGAAGTAATCTCTTTCTCTGATAAATATGATTCAGAGGTAGCACTGTTTGCCTGGTGTTCTTGAGAAGTGGGAGGGAAATAACAAATTATGTGCAATGAGCAGGACTTTGCTCTATCCAAAGAAGTCAAAGTACAGGAGAGTACTTAAACAGCTGTAAAGTCTGTTCTTTCTCCCTTATCTGATTTGTCTAAAAAGCCCTATAGCTCTGTGCCTCTTCATGAACTTGCACTGACAAATACTTTTGCTATACTGAGCTTGGTTTCTGTCAGTGCTGTCAGTCCTCCATGGTTTCATCACAGTTGCTCAGAGACTCCCAGAGATGGCTATGGAAATTAGATGGACAGGAGCTGAGTGGAAGCTTTCTAGGGAATGAAAGGATAAAAAAGTAATTTTGTAGGTTGGCTGAGCTCCTTATGAGATGTTTAATGCTGCTGTGATTTAACTGTATTGCTAATGGTACATGAGAATGTTTGAGCATTTTGGTAGGAGTCTTCTGGTTATTTAAATCAAAAGGAATGAAATTTGATAGGTCATTAAAAATCTCTATTTATTTTGGAGATCAGTAGTATTTTACATATAAATATATAGTAAGTGATTTTGATTCTGATCCTTATTTTCATGAATGCTTTTTTATACACTTTTTTTTATACACTTTGGCCAAAGAAAATACTTCTGATGTTGCCATAAATTATTTAGATTATCTCTTTCTGCTCTTGAGAGCTCTAGTCAGGCACAGTGCCATACTATGCTGCTTTTGAGCCTGCTACAGTTGTGTTTTCAGTTCAGGGAATATGAGTTTGTGTGCCTTATCCTACTGAATAAATGAAACCAGACTGAACCATGTGAGTACTTCAGTCTGTATCTTTAGACCACCTTGTCTTTGTGAGAGACACCACTGTGCTTTCTAATCTAGCCACTATTAATTAATGAAAGGCCAAATAACAAAGATGAGCTCTCAGAAAGGCAGATCAGGTATCAACATTACTGTTTGTTAAAGATGTGCCACTGCTGCATGGGAATACACAACCACACAATCACTGACTGGATGTGATCAATCCTTTAATGGCTGTAACATAAAAGAGCTTCCAGAATTTTCTTCTATTAGCTGCTATGATGTCTATGAATTTCTGTAGGAGAAGTATTACATACAAAGAAGAACCTTAATATAAGGTCAAAAGTTACTGAGAATAATTTATTTTGTGTGAGTATTGCTTTTTATCAAGATTTTTCTCAATGATTTCAGTAATTGCTTCTCTTCTGTTGCACTTTGTTTTCATTTCACTTTCCATGTCCATGTAACAGTTTATTGTGTTTGTGAGATAGCTCTTTGCTTACTCCATTGCTATCAGCATTTCAGAAAAGACTGTAGTAACATCTAAAAAGTGTTGTTCTTCTGATCTCTTAACACATTTTAATCTTCTCCAGTGAGGATCTTTTCTAGAACATGGCTCCTTCCTTGTTTATTTTGCAGCACTTCAATGACCCTTACCTGCAATGCCATTTGACTGTTAAATTTCAAGCAAAAATGTTATATTTTTCTTGCCACAGAACCATACAGCAGTTTTAGGGATTTTTTTTGCAGTGCTAGATCAAATCCACTACTGTAGAAATAATATTGCATGATTTTGAGACCATAAGCTAAAAAATAACAGTCAATAACAGTTTGTTAATTTTTTATAGATGGATGCACGTTTAATTGCAGCAATGAAAACGTAGTGCAGTCTTTCCTCTCATTCAAGCTGTAACTAAAAGACTGTGAGGAATAAATACTACTGGAATATTACTGGATTACTGGTGTGGTTACTATTTCAGTATTGCTATAAATAAGAACATATTTCTCCTGCGTATTGCTTAACTACTTTCGCTGAACTGAAATGACCATCATGATTAGTAGTCTGTGGGGCATGGGAATAAACTCTTCCAGGAAAAGATATAAAGTAAAATGGGTACTCGTGTCATTTCAGTTTGGGGAAGGAAAACTTTTTTTTTCTTACAAGTATGAGTTTTAAAACTAAGGACATCCTCTGCATTGTTTTCTTTGTTTATCTTTGAGACTGATTTAAAACCTTTTTTTCTTTTAAGATCCAAAGTAGGGAATTGGTCTTAAGAAACTGAAGGGCTTTCAGCCAGAGAAATTACTGTACATTTATCAAAACCAACCATTTTTCATTCAAGATACTCATAAGACAGAAGATTCATTCTAATAGTGTTCATGTTTAACTGCCTGGAGGGAAAATAAATAAATACTTTGTGTTTTCCAATGAAAAATAATTATTGCCAATCTAACAAAAGCTTTCAGAAAAATGTAAAGCCAGCCTTCAGTATCGTAGTTTCAGTTTCCATTCTTTTTTTTCCTTACACCACTTCAGTTGCATAACGCAATAATATCAGCATAACTACCCTGTGGTTATATGAAGATATGGAATAGAAACTTGGAAATAACTTGTTTATGGAAGACCTGTGGGTTTCAACTACTTTGGTAATTTTTGTTTAGACAGTGGCAAGAAACTGCTTTATGTGAAGCCTTTGGTACTAATTTTAGTAATAGTTTTTCATTACTTCTCTGAGAAGATTATTTCACAGTCAGTATTTTGATTAGAGATCTTTATAATTTATTGTTTACATGGTAATATTTACTTTTTTCATTGCTGACTTCTGATGGAAACAAAGATGTGGTTAGTAAGGGGGGAACACAAATCACATAAGTTAGTATTCAGCATAATAAAAGTCTGCAGCTGAGCAAGTTGGTTAGTTCTTTTTAAAGTCAACAGAGAGGCAGAAACACTTTCAGAGTGTATTATCTCTAACATAGTTTAGATGTTTGTTTCAGGAAAAGAGGTGTGGCATCCTAGGCTCCACTGACTATGTTTACTAGGTATCTATTGACTCCATTAACCCTGGGAAACTGGACTCTGCATCCTGAACTATAGAAATCTAATGAGTCTTATCACAAAAAGTACAGGCAAATCACAGAGATGATGAGAACAATTTGCAAGGATATGATGTGATACTAATTTGCAAATTATATAGGCCCATGAATAGGCCATTTGGCTGTTCCAGACTGCTGGCCAGAGTGGAAGAAAGGACAATATATATTTTGCACAGCTGGAGCAAAATTCCTGTGTGGATGCTGGAATGGTCAAGAGAGACAGGCACTGATGAAACTGATGTAAGCCACGATGCAAGTAATTTGCCAGCACAGGAAAGCTTTCTGAGACCTCTTTGTTATGTGAGATGGCATCTGCTAAAAGGGGATTGAGGACTCATGAGAAAAAAAATAAAAATTCGGAAAATGGAAAGGATGGGTTGAAATAGTGAAAGAAAATATTAAATAAATATTCAATCAATATTAAATTAGCTCGTACACTGAATATAAGAGAATGTGAGGTGATCTAAGAAGATGTTATCGCTGTTGGAAAGTCCAGATGAAATTGAATTGTCAGTGGACTAGACACAGGATAATCCTTAAGAGAGACATTTCAGATAGTTTGAAAATAAGATATTTTGTCCAGTTTTCAAACTGTTTTTTTCCCTGATAAACTGACAGGTATATGGACTGAATCTAGGACCAAAACAATGTTCTGTAAAGCTAATTCAGTATATTGTGTTCAGGTTTGATAATTATTTCTCTTTCCTTTCTCTTTCTTAATACTTCCCCTGTGATTATTTCCTGTGGTTCTTGTCTTCAGCTACATGTCTATAATGGCAGCAAAGATCATTCAGAAATGTGATTGTTGGAAGTCAGTACAGGAGCATCAACACAGCTCAACAGTGATACCTTGGTCCATAAATCAGTGACAACTGAAAACGTCATCTCAGCCAGTCATTCATGGGTGGGTGGCATTCCACTGAGTTGCTTTTTGATACAGAAATGCTCCGTTCTGCTGTAACAAGAGCAGAGCTTCTATCACTGTCCATTATATCAAGAGAATTAAAGAACTGCAGGTGGCCTGGAGAACGCATTTTGAAGATTGTTTTGGATCAGTTACTCTGTAGCTCAGACCGCTCTGTCCATTATGAAGAAACAAACACAATTACAACTGGTCTTGATTAATGATAAGAAAAACAGAGTGAAAAGGGGAACATTATTCTCTTCAGTGCGTAGAGCTGTAGTTCACTGAAAATTAGCTAAAAATCAATAACATGTAATGGCAGAAAACAGTTTTTGTATCTAACAAATTATTTATTAGACAAAGAGGCTGAAATGGAGCATCTCTATTAAGTGTTTAATCCTAGAGATCACAAAATTCCAACTTTTAAAGATACAAAATCTACTAATGAATATATTGCTATATAATGTATTCCAAATAATGAGGTTTCAATCAGAAATTTTTTTTCAAAGAAATTCAAATTATATCAAATTCAGATTTATTCAAACATCAAAATTTCATGCAGATTTCTATTGGCTCAGTATACACCCATTGAAGTTAACAGTAATCTCAAATGAAACTATCCATCAGTAACTGAATTATTATTTTTTCATTGTCAGATTTATGTCTTCAAGATTAATACACAGCTCTGCTTAGGTAAATAAATGGTACATGTAAATATTTACTAAAAAGATTTAAGATTAGATTTAAGATTACATTAAAGTTTATCTATATGAATATTTTATGGTAGAAGGACGAGCTTCAGTATATACTTACATAATATGATGGATTATTTCCTTATAGCCTGATAGTGCTTGAAGATGCCAGTTATGCCAGGCAATAGGCAAGGGAATGCCTGTTGTCTATGATTGCGTTGTAAGAGACGCTTTTAAATTGTATGTGAAGCTTAACTGCAAAAATGAAATCAATTAGTAGATGTGGCAAACAGTACCTCTTCCTACTAAAAGATCTAAATCTAGCTTCTTATAGTCTAGATAGGTTCAGATGGTACAGGTGAGAAGTGCATTTATTTACTTTTGTAATTTATATTTCCTTTTGATCCCCAGCCTGCCTTTATTAACCTTTCTTGATCCAAGGAAGCCTCACACACTGTAGTCAGAGCTTAAATAGAGAAGGCTGGGAGCAAATAGAAGCAATGATACTGGGAACCACTTGGAATCTGGAAACAATTACAGCTGCAACTGAATGTAGCTACAGCATATGTGCATACAGAAATTTCAAATAAAGAAGTGCTACTAGCACAGTTTATGGATTTGTGAATTGCACAGATTCTTACATGATCTTTGCTTTGGAATATTTTGTGAAGATTCTTTTGCTACTGGATAAATGAAATAGACATTATGTGGTACCAGTGCTGAATCCCAAAATTATGATGATCTTAGAGGTCTTTTCCAACCTTAATGACTCTATGAAGCCCTATGAGCAACATTTTCGATCACTGTCTTGGACAGCAGATGCAAGACTCCTCAGAATCTTTACCACGTCTTTTTTTTCTGCAGCTATTGTGAATTTCTTCCTGCAATTTTTCTTTTCACTTTTATTTCTAGACTTCTCCCTTTCTTAGATTGAATTTCATCTGCTGAAACTGAGTTCTCAACTTCGGTATGAAACACATCAGGAATAAACTGTAAATGACTGCAGTTTACAACAGGGTGTTCATAAGCTGCCCTCACATAAAAGCATAGAGCTACAAAATAAGTGAAATAATAAAAGATGTAATTCACTTATCACTCACTTATAATATCATACTAAAACCAATGCCTGGTTGTAATAGATATGCCGTATTCTTTCAGATGAATGAAAAGAGTTGGTAGAGTGATTAATTTCTATAATGGTCAGAATGAAGATTTTGGGAAGATTAATATGAAGTTTATTAGATGTTTTTGCATCTATTGATGTCAGTTTCCTTTGAAGCTGAGTTTTTGCTTCCTCTTGAAGCTGGTAATGATAGGCATTTTGTCTTCCTCTCTTCCCTTCCTCTTCCTCAAATATCTTTAGATTCAGTTAATAACTGAAGGACTTGTTATACTGAGTCCCAGTAAATCTCCCCTGATTTGGTGTTTGAATGAGGTATATACTAAAATGTACAGGATAAGATGCAAAACAGCCATTACTGAGATTCTTATTCAGTAACACCACTGATAGAGCAGCCTCTTATGCTGCATAACTGATTATGAGATAATTCACCACAATTTCTTCCATTTTTTTTTTCATGGAACCAAGTGATGGTTTTAAGTGATGTTTGTACCTAATTTTTCATCCATTTCTTTGAATATGGCGAGTGTCTTGAATGATCTGTTAAAGCTAGAACATAGAATGCGCTTTTCTCTGGATCACTGAGAAGGTCAAGAGCAGAGCTATTTGTAGCCATTATCAGTGTCATGTGCAGACTCACGAATGATTAATCTCAGGACAGTTTAAGTATTCTCCACAAGTTCCTCTCAGTTTGTCTCCCACATCCATGAGGACTTGTAGTTTTAACTTCCATATCATTAATTCCTTGCCATCTCTCTATCTCAACTGCCTTTCCTTTAAAAATACTACAATCTTGAATTAGGCCATTATTTCATCCTTGAAAATCAGTTTCAATTTACCTAGTTCACCACTTTTTGAAACCACAGTAACTCATGATTGCTGTGGCCAGAGAGGAATTGCCTGAGAGATGTGCAGTGCACTGAGCTAACATGTAAGGCTAAAGTATAAAATTTAAGTTATAAATGAAAGTGACAAGCAAAATTTTTCTCCACTTAGCTTTATTAATGATGCAGTATTTTTTTTGCGTGTGGTTTAAGGCATTTATTGTCATTGTTTTTAGCTGTAATTTCATTTCATAATTCAGTTGGCTTTTTACTTATTTTAATACCACTTTTTTTCCGTGCAGATTATTGTCATAGGATACGTCTGTGTGGTCTTCCTGGAACAAACATGTGCAGATATTTATCTAAAGAAGCAAAGGCTTAACAGCGGGCTTATTTTCAAATATGTGAGTATGCGGCTGAAATCAAGGCTGTACAGATTGTCTTTCTAAGGCGACCAATGAAAACAGCACTTGTTTGGTTTTTTTCTGGTTGTAGGCCCAATCATATATCTGGTGTCATCCTAAACACTGTCTTCAAACATTTATTTAATTGCACAAAAAGTCCCACAAAGAGCATAGGAAATATTTGTATTCTTTAAATTTGATATCTTTTGGACTACAGTCAGGATCTCGAAGAATCAAGACCTGTATTAGTATATCATATGGTGAGCATTTTTTGAGAAAGATTATGAGAATGACCATAAACAAGAAATAAACATCACAAGAAGAGAGATTTTAATGATGAAAGGATTTGAAAGAGAAAGCAGAGGAATATGAGCTAATGTACCAAAAGCTCAAAAGCTTATGAAACATAGAATGATACTTAAATTTTAGAATGAGAATGTCCCTTTTCTCTGATAAGTAGTATAACAAAAAGGAAAATGAAAGGCAATCTGGAAGCTATTAGAAGGAATTTTTTTCTGCAATGTATAATTAGGTGGTAGAAATCATTCTCAGGGGAAATGAGACCAATTACACAAGGAGAAATCCAAGTGAGATGGAATATTTCCATATATAACTGTGGTACCTAGAGTAGCAGCAAATGGTAAACAAGCAATGTAATAACGCTTATTGAAATAACTATTAAGCCTTCTGCTCTAATGCTGCCATTCAAAAGCAGATGTTATCTGCAAAGGGGCAGTTTACATCACATCTACTTGATAGAAGGCTGTTCTACCTTCTCCTCAGCTATCTGGTGAAGACCACTTTCCATAGAAGTGGTTAGAAAGAGCCAAAGTCTTTTCTTATGTAGATCTAACCAAGCACGACAGCAACAGTACTTTTATGTATCTGTCTAATATCCTTTAACAAGCATGAATTTGACATTTAATATATAGTATCAGTAGCCTTCAACTAGCAATTATTTGCTCAATAGACTGAGAAAATTCTTCAATTTTTGTTAAAAAAATGATAAAGCAAAAAAAAAGGCAAGAAAGGTATCTAATCTTTAGTTAATTCATTAATCGATCATAACAAATCCCCTGATGGCTACTTCTTTTCATTACAGAATTTTTCAGTTTCAGTGACCCTTTAACCACCCTTTGACTTTTCATGACTTTTCACAGATTGTACAATTTTCTTTTTCAAGATTAAAATTTGTATGGTACTTTCAAATCAAGGATCTTCCTAGAGTGGGTCAGGTCTTCTACATTCTGGGTGTCTTTCATCTTTATTACCATCATTTTAAGTACAACATGGAAATATGATGACCTTGCTGAAATCATGATGACAGTGACACAGGGCAGAAGTAACACAATTCTTCTTGTGCTGTAAGTGCAGGGACAGCATACATAATAATGTTGTCTGGCTGTATTTATGCTAATTACGCAAAATTATGGGGTCTTTTAGAGGTGATTCAAGATGGGCAGACAAAATTCCCAGATTATCAACAGTGCCATTTGTGTGTATTTGTTTTCCTCATTGTGCAATTTCAAATGTGAATTACAGAGGTTAAAATTTTGGTAAGCACTGGTATGCTCACAGCAAATAGGTTCTGTTTCACTTCTCTCTTTTATTATATGTACATCTTAATTGTTTAATGTAATATTTCTACTTAATTATAGGAAATGTCACTTACTATATTGATGGGAAAATGAACACGGGCAATGTAAGTGACATCGTACATTTTTACAATGTGAGAGAAAATGACTAATTATGAGATAGAATAAATTAACTCATACATCAAATATTTCTGAAAGGTGTTAGGAGGTGGAGATAGGGGGTTCCTCTGGTTTAATCTCTCTGTAGAGGAAATTAGAGTCAAATTATATTGGAGATTCAAAAGCAGAAATTCTCTTCGTGGCCTAGAAGAACATATAACGACACCTAACATTTACAGAGACATAGCATATCATCTTGAAGTTTATACACTGCAAGCATCACTTCATTTATCACTAGAAGAAGATTGTAGCATCATAGCATACTCCACAAGTTTTATTAGAATATATGAATTCAGTCATGGCTACTATAAAACAGCTGGAGCATGCGTGCAGGAGAGGGTATACACATAAAGAGGAATCACAATGAATTTCATGAAGTTGAAGCTGCAACTTGATGACTTTAGGTCGAATGTGGAAAATTTCCAAAAACTTGATCATAACTAGTAAATGCACTACTATAAGTCTATAAATTATTTCTGTTCACTGTCGAGAGATTTAACCTATGGCAATCCCTTGGGATGAATGTTATTCATCTAAAAATAAGGTCATATTTCTAAAGAAGTGTGTGTACTTCAGCTTTACTCTTTCTAACTTAGGTTTATTCTTTCTTTTATTTGCTTTCCCATAAAGCATTTTCCCATATAAGGGTTTGTTGCTTTCTATCAAGTTCAAGTTGCTTTTCTAAGTGTTATAAGGATTAATCAGGAAATTGCTTGAGGAGGAATGTTTTAGAAGAAAAAAAAATAAAGAATTTATTTTTGTGAGGAATCACCATTCTGTACATGAACTCTTGATGTAGAATGCAGCATTAGGCTAATACCTGTTATCTCTGAAAGTTCATGATAAACAGGCTGACAAAAGCTTTCACCATTTCCCACTCAAATTAAATGCATCTCTTCCTCAGGCTAAGGGATCAATAGGTAAATAAATGAATACATACATAAATAAAGCTTTAAAAAGTAAAGGTACAATTTATTCTGGAATGAAGGAATTCTGGAGAGGTGGCAGAGAAGGTGAGCTGGATCAGTAGATGCTCAAGGTGTTGAGCCTTGCAGAAGGAGAAAGTCAAAGTGGGAAAAGGAGGGAGAAATAAAAATGAGAGATTGAGGTTCGTTATTAAATATTAAGAAAGTGATAAACTTTTCTTCTATTAATTTTGGTGAACTCTATCAATAGAGTTCATTTTCATTCCAATATAGAGCATAAAAAGATTATAAAACCTTTGCATTTTCCACAAAAAATAGAGTTTGTTTTTCCAGACAGCTGTACTGCTAACCAACATTGCACAGGCATCACTTCACATTCCTCCCCTGCTGCCTCCCTCCTGTTAGTCCTTTCCCTTCCACATTCCTATACATATATTTAGAGAACTCAAAATGCTGCTAACTCTCCTGTCATCACAAAGACAGCAGAAATAAACATAAGTCACTAATAAATGTTACATCCCTAAACTACAGCATGAAGAAAGATGGCCTCTTTCCCAGAAGCTGTGCACTGAATATTGAAATCTGTTTGCAAACCAGCACTGAATGCTGTGTTGTCAGCCAGTGCACGTAGCTAAGTGCAAGTGGTGCAGACTGTAGTTAATTAGTAAGTTTTGTTTGCTAGGCTGTGACTACAGCAACTTTCTTCTCATAAAATATCTTTCATGTACATAACTAGAAACAAAATGTTCCTCAAAGAATCTCTGTCCGTGTATTTAACTGTTCTCTATAGTGCTGCCAAGTCACAGCCTCCCGGATAAAAACAAATCAATGCTATTGTGATCTTACAAGAGGTTCTGAATTTCTCTCTCTTCAATTTTACTGAAAGATTTCCTCTTGAATTTATGTCTTCTCTATTATTTTTAATGCATTAATGTGTAAAATCTCTTTCACGTGCATCTATATATAAATTAAGCATTTCATGTGGTTACTGTAATGTAGATACAATTACTCTATCGCACATTCTGTAAAGAAATTGAGAATTAAAAAAAATTGCAAAGAATTTAAATAATATGAAAATTCTATTAAGTCATATGGAATTATAACTATTACATATATATGGCTCAATATATTTATCATGTTGGAAACAGTAAATTTTTTTTGAAAAGATTTTTCTTTCCACTGTGAAGCAAAGGACTAGACTTGAAGTGTGGAAGACAGCAGAAGTACCTGACGTAATTTCTTTTTCCCTCATTCATGAAGATTTGTTTTGAAATCCAACCTGATCAGGATTTTGGGAGGTTATTTATTTATTTATTTATTTAGTCTGCAGTTTAAATCCCTTGGTTCTAATTTGCTTTCCTCACATACACTAGAGTAAATGGTATTCAACTCCATTGAAGTCAATGGAACCACGCACAGATAAAACCAATAGAAGAAAATTAAACCTTTCAAAGAAAACCTACTGCATTTCTTTTGAGAAGCTGAAATGGGTAAGTTTAGTTAGTTTATCACTTGTTGAAGTTTGACATTGCATAAAGCATTAGCAACTGGAGCCTATTGTCGAGACAAGGATAATGAGCAAATCTGAGTTTATAAATGGTTGACTGGAAACAATGGTGCACAGATAACCCTGGAGAGATTGAGAAAGACTTCACTGGAGTTTATTTGCATTGCAGTTCTACTGGAAGTCACAGAAGCTTGGCTTCCTACCTACTTAGTGCCATTTATTTTTGATATGCCCCAAAGCATCCCTGACGCTTATTAGAATAGAATGGTGTCTAGGCAGCCAGTAACGCTACTGTATCTTGTTTAAACAGTTTTCTATTTTTAGAAGTTCCAAAGAGCTTCAGTATACAGCTTTAGCCCAGCTATATCTGTTGATTCATGCAGCTTGTGAAACCTTTGACCTAGATAAAAAAAAAATCCAATATTTAAGAAGAGAATCCACATTGCTTTCAGGATCCACTTAGTGCTGTGGTTTAACAAGCTGTTCTTCTCATTCGTATCATTTTATTATCCTTTTTTTGTGTGTGTGTTGTTTTTTTTTTTTGGTACACCATACAAATTCTTTGTGGCTGCAATCTGAACAATTCAACCTTGCTATTACATGTAATTTTACTTATCAACTATATGGTACCTTTATACATCTCTGATCATGGGGCTTTTTGTTGTTGTTGTTGTTGTTTGTTTGCTTTTTGTTTTGTTTTGTTTGTTTGTTTGTTTGTTTTTGTTTTTGTTTTTGTTTTTTTTGTTTTGTTTTGTTTTGTTTTTTGCAAAGTGCCACTAACACTGTGCAGGCAAGAATTTCCCTTTAATCTCATTTTTGTGTCAAATTCCTTCTGCAGTTTCTGGATGTGAGCCAGCCGTGTTAGAATGAAAATTGGAGCTATTCTCTCCTCAAGCCTGCCATAGTTCTCACAGCAGGGAATATTAGTTTATAAATTACCCCAGAGAGCACCACCAGTCATAGAAAGCTCCATAGATCCACGGGAGCTAAATCACACCTTTCACTTCTATGAGCATTCGCATCCCAAAGTAAACAGTGTTTACATTTGAAGCTGCACTCAGCTTTATAAAAGACCATTCTGACTCTTACTTTTGCGAAACAGTTCTGTCTTTGACATATTTTTTTTTATGGCTTATATTATATTTTACTGGGCAGAAAATATAGTGGGAAATAACCTATATTGTCTAATTGTTCCTTATGTATAGAATAGATTATGGTCATCATCAGAGGACCAAAGTGCCAGCTTCTCTTATTCAGTTTGTTCTCATTGTTTCTCCTAAAAAAGCAGAGTTTTGAAACTACGAGCATTGTGAAATGTCCCTGTCTTAGGAGTTGACAGCATGATAAGGCCACAACCCAGAGGATATCAGTCAGATAGAATAGCCTGTGGTACATAAAGGTACATATGTGGTACATAAAATGACAGCAAAATATCCCCTCTAAAATAAAGGCTGTCAGACTGAAGGATACATTGCTAGAGCATTTCAGTTAGCGTATCACTATATAAATCACTGCAGTTACGCAGCTGTAAGTCTTCCCTGCAAGAACTAATTATTTGATGACAATTGTTTTGGCAGCTTCTTACTCTCATTTAATACTTCATGTTTCCTATCTACAGGGCTGCGATGGGACATTATATGGTTGTGCTGTCTACAAGCCTATCTTCTCAGTGAACACACTGGAGAAGCAGTTTGTTACTCAGAAGGTTTAGGCACTCCACCTACAGCAAAAGTTCTGGACACTTCACAGAAAAGAAATGGTACACACTACGACCCAAGGACCTGGCTGTGAAATTAGATTTCTAATTAGAGGATAAGATATAAACTTGTACACTTGCATTGAACTTGTTTATCAGAGGTTTCCTAAGCATTTAGTCTATTCTGGTCTGGAGTACCTTAGAGTGAATATAAAATTAAATTTAGCTAAACCTTGCTTGTTTATGGCTACATAGTTTGTGTTACTGAATCTCTTTATATACAGAATGCAATTAAAATCTAATTGCCACTGGAGAAAAGTCACACTGGCAAAACTGCACATACCCTTCTTGTGTCTAATGGACCACACAGCAGGGAGTAGCATCATTTAAATGTCTGTGAGGAAACAACACAGAAACGTATCTGAGAACAGTGATCCAAGGCAGATCTGTGGTCTTTTTTGTGTAATAAAAAGGGCTAAGAGAAGGAAAATGACATTATAAAAAATAAGATTTCACAAATAGAGAGGCAAGGGATTAAGTTGTGAGTTGAGGGTAGTACCAGAAAGATTTAAACTTGGTTTGAAGAAGAGTTTGAGAGTGGAAAGGAATATCATCAGGCACCTGGGTAAGGTGATGCTCTGAGTCTGGGCTATTTACTTTAGTGAAGTTGAACAGCTGATTTCCATTAACATGCATGACTCTCTCCCTTCCCACCAACAGCTCCAAACTTGCAAATACCTACACCTACAACTGACCTCAGCTCTTCCCTTAGATTCGGCTCATCTGGGAACTTTTGGGATGGATAGGTAGTGGTAGGAGGGCATTCTCATGGCTTTTCATCCCTTCTCAATATTACCTGTCCCAGTACTAGCAGAAACAGAAGAATGGGCTGTATTCTGCTGCCATGCACTCCTTGCAGTCACCAGATGTGCTTTCCCACCATCTGAACTTAGCTCCAGAAGTGGGCATTGAAGAATGGCCCTTCAGTCTCCAGTTGTTTGGAGGAACTTCAGATCTGGAGAAAAACATTTTCCATGTTCTCTATGGATGGCTTATGTTTGTTTGTGTTCAGATAAAAATCTCTTCAATTGTTTGGGAAGGATATGTCTTTCCACTTGGAACTGAAAAACATAACCTTTGTGAGATGGACATAGAGAAAAGCATCTGGCACTCCTAAGCTGTGACTTGGCATGAGCAAAGGATATTGAGATAACACAGTGTAGGAAAAAAAAATAAAAATTTCTACTCTCCCCACTAAAGACCTGACTGTACACAGATGTAATGTAGGCATGGGGGAGGCTGAGGGAGGGGAAGATCCAGGAAGAAACACAATCTCTAAGCCCCTGCACTGAGTTTGTTTCTTGTTTGATAGAAGTCAATGGAAAACTCATATCAATCAATGCTTTTGTATGGTTTCTTTTTGTTGTATTTATCATGCTCAAATAGACAGGTGATAGTTAGAAAACTGCACATGCCTGGAATACTTTTTCCATGAAAATGTGACAGATATTTACAGACGCTATTACAGTAACAAAATGCTTTAGCTTGCATTTCTAAAATTTCTTGATGGTTTCCATTAATCATGAGTGTGAGTCTTGTAATTATAGTTTGTATTACAAACATTATTAGAATTTTTTTTTTTCCTGAGATTTTTATTCCCATTTCTTGTAGAATTGAAATGATTAGGAGAGGCTGATGGAGTCTAAAATTAAGCCTCTGTACAGGAAAGAAAAGGTTCTGTATTAAGATAAATAAGCAAATAATGCCTAAATGCTAAGGTTAGGACAACAAATTTGAAACAATATATTTGAGTAAAAAAAATACCTATATGAATTACTTACCTGTATTGTTCAAAGAGAGACTAAAATGCATTTGGTGTAGGGTACACAAATGATGACATTTTCTAAAAGATGCTTTAAACAATATGCCTTAGATGAGAATACCTTTCTTATCTAATGAACCACATCAATTGAAGCAGCAGCACAATTTCCTCATGGCTGAATACAGAAGTCGTTCAAAATCTGCAGCTAGTTCATCATAAGGCAGTTCACCCTGAAGACTGCATCACACCAGAGCTGCTGGCTCCTCACTGCTTCCCCCAGCACTTGGGTGCTCAGACTGCCTTTTGCTGATAATGCACCTGTTGGCTTAAGGCCTGCATGAGTCTTTCCATGCATCCACAGCAAATGTTGACCTCAGAAGCTGTGGGAGGTTAGTAAAACAATGCAAGGAAGTGTCAGGTAGCAGAAGGTCACATGGGTTTCCTAGAAACCTCAGACAGCCTGGCAGCTTTGAAGTGTCGCTCTGCCTGACCCTGAATGCCAAGTTCAAAACCCAGCAATGGCTGCCTTCACGGCCAGCCAGCTGAGCAGAAGGCAGAGCTGTGCTCCATGGCCAAAACACAGATCATCATCATGTGTAAACAGGGAAGCGGCTGAAATACATCTATGCCAGTTGTCTCTAATGAAGGCCATGGGCCAAGAACTCAAAGGGCATGTCTACACAGCTCAGACCAACAGTGTGTTATAGATCTCTGAGCTGGCTTAAGAGCATTTGGTATATGGTGCAGCAGTGTAGTTCCATACTGTGATATTGAGTCGGCTCTCAGAAGCCCGTTGGACTGCCAGTTAACTTAGCTACGAGAAGTCCTGGTTACTGCTGTGTGTCTGGTGTTAAGGAGATTGTTTTTGCCTGCAGTGTTGCATGATACTACAACCAAATTCACACAGCTCTACCTCGTGACAGCAACAGTAGCTTTTCATACTCCAAAACGTGAAAATGTTTTGTTTTCTAGTTATGCTTGAATAAGCAGGAACCAACCTCACTTTGGAGAGGAAAATAGATTCTCCCTGTTAGAGTGGACACGCTACTGTTGGGAAATGCATCAAATGCTTTTGTCTTCATGGCACTGCCCATACCTAGCCCTTGCATACTGAGGATGCTAGATTTGAAATCCTTTTCAGTGAGCCCAGTGATTAAAAATTACTTTCTACTTACCTGAAATGATTCAGGTCTGCTCCTTGAGGAAGGCTATGTCAGACAGTCATGCACAGCCCTGCTGCTGATGGCAGCAGAAAGGCCACTGATGGAGATGGTCAGTGACATCCCACTGTCTTGTGCAGTAAAACCAGCTGAGGCAAATTCCAGATCACTGCAGGAAAAGTCACCTTATAAGCATCTTACAAGCAGTGGCTGTAAATTCTAGAATTTGCAGGATGTCCCTTTTCAGAAGGAACCTGCAATACAGTGCGATTGGCCCTGTGCACCAGGATACACAGGGATCTGTACACTGCTGCACAAAGTGTTTCTATAAATCAGTGCTGGAGAGAGGCTATTTAAAATTTGTCTTTTTGTCCCTCGAGAGGGAGCAGTCCAGTGGGTTTATTTGTTTAATCATGCACACTGCTGTTTCAAAGAAGACAAAATGTGGCAAGCAGCTCATTAAGAGAGATTGGATCTATGTTAACATGCAAATACTAATCCATTAGGACCCTGCTCATACACCAATCAATCAATTAACTCGTCTGCCTATGTATTGTTCATTATTTGAAAAATGGTTTTAATCATTTAGGTATGCATTAATTAATAGCATTCCTAGTTAAAAGGAAAAAAAGAAATTTAGTTGTCTTTGGGGCTTACATGTACAAATATTTAGTATTCAGCCATGAATCTGTGATTAAGATATATCATATAGCCAAAGATAACACAAGGACTTCCAGAAATAGAGATGCAGAGCAATTTCAATTTATATCAACAATTTCATATGTGTCTTTTTTAAAGCACATGATAGAATAAACCACTTTATATGTATTTGTATATATATAATAAACTCAGAATTGCAGAAAAACAACATAAAACAAAAAACCCAAGAATTAAAATATGATGTTTGTTTTGTGTTTTTTTGTTTTGTTTTGTTTTTTTGTTTTCTGGCTCAGAGGCATTTCTGGGCCAAAATAATAGCAGATGGATACAACCTCCCTGACTTCAAACAAACAAACAAACAAACAAACAAATAAATAAATAAGAGATAAAAAATTGGCTAAAATTTAAGTGACATGGCAGTAGACAGAAAAGCCATTCCAAATGGAACTGAATTTTCTAAACAATAGTGACTTCTCATTTTTTTAAAAAAAGAAATAAATCAATAAGAAAGGAATGGGTCACAATAAATAGGTGGAAATTCCAAACTGGGCAATAGATTTGTAGTGGGACAGGTAAATTGGATTTGATACAGAGATATGTAGAATTATTTGAGAGTAGAAAAAGTTGAGCTTTCTGGATGTTCTGGAAGTAAGGCAGCTTAATTGTACAGGCGCTGCATGGTGGAGTTTGGGAACATCACAGAAAAAGGAACTGCAGAAGTCAAGGTCAGAGAAGAGTGATATACATGAGAATTTAAACAAAGGTGACAGTCACAGAACGTTTCAGTGACAGATTAATAGAAGAGAAATAGGAGTTGAGGAAAGCTCAGGATCAAGGATGAAATGCAGGGAACAAAGAGGTAAAGCTAAACATGAAGCTTGATTCTGTAAGAGGCAGGAATGGTTGGATGGGACTGCTTCTCTCTTACACGCAGAGCTCTTTCTTTCCTCCACTTGGATGTGGGTTTTACGCAGATAAGTAATCTCTTTAATTTCATTTTCTTTCATACCAACTGTTGCCTTCAGAGAAATCTGTACGTAAGTGTGGCTCACAGATGCAATGATTTTCAGGTTCAGCCTTCAGTCTGATTGCAGAACTGTCCCAGGGCCTAATCCTGGTCCCTTATCCCTGTGAAAGACTCTAGTGCCCCATTTGTACTGTGAGTGAAAGGCTCCTCTTTTCCATGGCAGCCTTCTCCATGCGATGATTTCAAGAGTGATTTCAATCCTTGGACAGAAAGGAACACGTTGTATTTTGAATCTTGGCATTTCATGACTTCTTCGTCTTTCTTAAGTTAGTTCAGTGAGGCTACGGAAACCCAAGCATTATAGACACTAATTCTCTGCACACTTCTACCTTGTTAAACATGACTCACACAGCTCAAATTGCAAAGTGTTTATCCATTTGAAAGCCTGAAGCTCTTACTGTAACAGAATGAAAATGATCCCTCACTTCAGTTTTTTTT